TATAACTGTAAGAAGAGACCCGTTAAAGACCTTCTGCTATATAAATACTGTTAAAAGAACTGGAATAACAATATTTACAAGTTCAACGTAATACCTTTCAGCCTAACGAACGCGTCCACAACTTTCCAATGACTCATGGATACTGTCTACTCTGGTTTGGCATGGATCTTCCTTGTTATCTATCTTGACGATACCAACATCTATTCATTGTCGTTCAGAAGTCACTTAGATCATTTAGAGCAAACCTTTCAAAGACTATGAGAGGCAAGATTATGTCTCAACGTTGACAAATATCACTTCTGCAAGGAACAGCTTGAGTTCCTGGAACATATTATCACACGAGAAGGAATCTGACCAGACATGACCAAAATAGAGAAAGTAAAAAACTTCCCACGGCCTACGAATATTACTGAGTTACGAGGATTCTTGGAACTTGCATCCTATTACTGATGCTTCATCCAAGGATTCTCTAACATTGCTGAACTGATACACAAGCTATTGAAGAAAGACTGATGTTACGAATAGACAAAGGAACATGAAGAAGCATTCCAAAAATTAAAAGAAAAACTCATTGATGCGCCTGTATTATTGTACTCAAATTTCAAAAACAAGTTTATTCTCGCTACTGATGCATCAAAACTTGGACTAGATGCTATTCTTTCACAACTCGACCCTGATGAAAATGAACGACCTATAGCATATGCAAGCAGAGAATTATCACCCGCCGAACAAAACTATGCCGCTCACGAGATGGAATGCTTAGCCATCATATGAGCAGTCAAGTACTTCTGACAGTACTTGTTAGAACAAAAATTTGACCTAATAACTGATCACATTGGATTAAAATGGTTAATAACAAAATCAAATCCAATTGGAAGAACAATGCATTGGATTATCATACTTCAAAAATATGATTTTGAGATCATCTACAAGCCCGGTCGAAAACATTCTAACGTCGATGCACTATCCTGAATTCTCCCTAATCGAACACAATCCGACAACCAAACAAACCCCACACCAGACCAACAACAACATTAATTATGGAACAAAACCTATACAATATCTGGATAAACTATATCAACGATCGAACAATATTAGCGAAATTATCACTCGAATTACAAAAATATATACAAAAGAACAAAAGTAATTACCTCATTATCAAAAATCAACTTTACTACCGGAAAAATAACAAAGAAAAATCTAAATGAGTTATAATGGAAGATAAAAAGGATATTATCCTTAGCGCCCTCCATCAAGATGAATATTTCAGACATCTTGAAAGAAATATCACTGTCAACAAAATAAAAGAACGTTACTATTGGCTCAATTTCAAAAAAGACATCAAAAACTATATATAAACCTGTCAAATATGTCAACAATGAGGATGATCAAAGAAAACTGAATCACTGAACCTGATCAAAGTCAGCCACCCATTCAACTGAATAGGAATTAACATAGTAGGACCATTACCAACAACATCAAACTGAAACCAATATATAGTAATTGCGATGGATTATCTCATCAAATGGCCAGAAGCATGAGCATTGAGAAGAGCCAACACAATTAGTGTAGAAAAGTTCATAAAAGAAGACATCATCACTAGACACGGATGTCCAAAAGAATTCTCTCTGATCAAGGTACCCACTTCATAAATGACACAATCCAACAACTTTGTAATTATCTAAATATTAAACGAACATTATCATCACCCTACCATTCTCAAATGAACGGATTAGTAGAAAGATATAATCGAACACTCACTGAAACATTAGCAAAACTTGCTATTTAGACAAAAATGCATTGGAATGAACATATCCCCGTCACCCTTTTCGCATATCGAACAGCCAAACAAGATATCACCAACTACACTCCATTCGACTTAATGTACGGAAGACAAGTCATCTTACCTATCAAATTACAACTATCAACACCATCAAACACGAATGACGAAAATTTCGAAATAGATCTAAACAAACGAATTTACGAATCGATTTATATTATTAACGAAAAAAGACTTCAAGCAAAAGAAAATATTGAAACATCCCAAGAAAAGCAAAAACAACACCACGATAAAAACCTACCCTGAACAGAATATAACGAAAAAAACCGTGTACTAGCTTATCGCAGTAAACTAGACAAATAATGAACAGGAAAATTAGAGCCAAAATGAAACGGATTATACACCATACATCAAAAATTAAATAACAGAGCATACCAATTATCTGACGAAAATGGAGTTCACGCACGATATATTCATGGAAATTGACTCAAACCATATAAAGAACAAAAAGAACAATTCGAGGATGAATTATCAGAACAAGAGAGTGAAGAAATCGTCAAAAACACACCATTCGTATTCATCTCTGTCTCAAAGAAAAATTTAACACAATACAAACAAAAGAAAAATAGTAAAATAGAATAATAAAAATGATAATATATATATATAAAAAAAAAGAGAGAAATGATCAACAAAAAGTTTAATAAATGACAATCAAGGCATTTGATCAATCAATACTCGACATATGACTTCCAGATCTGATGTCACCAAATAACTAATGAAAAATTAAATGGATGAACAAACAAACACGACTTAATAACAAACCAAAAACTTTCGAAATGTCAAACACCGAACAAGAAAAAGACATAATAACGGAAATGTGACAGTTAGTCACCCAAATCACCAATAAACTCAAAGAAAACTGCCCAGACCTGACAATAATCATCGAAAACACAGGTCTTCAACATAACATCACTAGAAGAATATTTAATAATGAAACAACAAACTGATGATATCTTTGAAGAAAATGGGATATTAAACAGAATGACAATACAAGAAAACGAACAAAATAATAACAACGAAGTAACAATTGATCCTAAAGTCATAAGAGCTAGCCAACAACTACGAAGCTCTTGGAAATAACGAAACACAAAAATTAACACAAAAAGAAAAGAAATTATACCCAAACGAAAAATTAAAGAAGCATGGCAACAATTAGACAAATGCTTCATGTTAGTGTTCCTATGAACTGAACCGAACCGGACTTTTGCCCGAGTTCGAGTTCGGTTCGAAATTCGAATCGAACTCGAATCGGACTTTGGCTTGAGTTCAAGAAAGGTTCGAAGTTTGAACCGAACTCGAACCGAACCGTTATACGAGTTCGAGTCT